GTTTAACGCTGGATTAACCACGTGTCAAATACGGCAAATGCCGCGGGCCTCGCGCTTTACTGTGCTACGCCCATTTTTACGAGAACACGGCCATTTTCTATTGCGACACACCCATTTTAGGTGCCTCGCGAATTTAGGGACCTCGCGCATTTAGGGCCTCTAGGCATGGCAGTTCGCCCTAGCACGGCCCCCGGAAAATATGCAATACTCGTGTTCATATAATCTTTAGTTCATATAATCTCTAGTTGCGTTGAGCTGTTATATTGTGATCCTGTTTATACCCACCAACTGCGCCAGGCAGGCCATTATCTCGTTTATAATTGATGCAAATAAATTGAAATATTGAAAAAAATTATTTAACACTTTTGTGTGTCTTTAAATTCAATGGTTTTCATAAAAAGAAGAAAGGGGGAGGATTGGGGGCCTCGCGCTAAAATTTGCCACGGGCCTCGCGCGACGTTAATCCGGCCCTGGTCACTTGTCGGTAGTTCTTGCGGTTTTAATGCCAATTGACAAAGATCAAAAGAAAGCACTGATGACTCCCCCCGTCGGAGAAATACTGGCGCAGCCCAAACCAGCTCAGTGAAATATGGGGCCGCAGGGCCAATTATACCCTTGGGGCCCCGGTGAACCACAATTACCCCCCTCCGTCGACAAACTTTTTATCGCCTTGCAAATTTGTATTTGCCTGTCTTCCTTGAGCTGGGGTCGCGGAGAAAATTGCTCCCTTTGCCGCCTCCCTGCATGGGCGGCCCTGGCGCCTCCCATCTTATCATAACTATCTACCCTAATTCAAGCTGATTGGCGCGGCTCGATGAATTAATTGCCGCTTTCAAACAGAGGTTTATTATTTTAAACCCCAGTCTAGAACCAGGGTACCTTTTGTCACTCTGAGGCCAGCGAAATAACCTCTTCCGCAACATGCACGTACGCGTCTACTATCGTCAAGAAACAATCAATACGTATAATCGTTGTGGTCTGTGGGATTTTAATTCAATAGTGTAAACCTTGCATTTTTAAGGAAGCCTCACATATCGATTTTTCCACAAGAAACGTCATATGTTCGTTTTGGGGGTGGGGGAGGGGGGTTTACAGCTGTGACGTTTCTCTGTAAATATCATGGAAAAGTTCGATAGTTTTTTCGAATACCTTAACACTTCGGAATCAACTTTGCAGAGTATAAAAAAGAAAACAACTTGAAAGAAAACGACTATTCAAATATAAGGGCTGGTAAACTAAAAATAAAAACTCCTTATATGGATAAACATTATAAACGTTCATTTCACATGTACACGCACGCTAACAGCTGCTTAATAATTAACTTACGTATTTGTAAACATCAGTCGATAAATAAAATGGTACATTAATGATTAATATGGACAAAATGGATCAAAACCTCTGAAAACAGCAGTTGTAGTTCCAGTTCTTTGGGGGAATTTAGTAGCAAATATAATCCTTAAATAGCTCATCGATTTGTATATGTTAGCGCTAAAGTCAAACGGCCGGGTCGTAGCCGGATCACGTTGAATAATGATCTGAAGTTTATATCATGCAACCGTCAACAATGTCTCAAAATACTGGATGTTTGATGATTTTTTTTACAAATATACCGGGATATCTGGACCACTTTTAAACTTAGCAAAGCGAAAAGTTCCCATTCAAGAATATGTTTTTTCTCAAAAGGTAAAATACTTAGAATACTTGATTAAAATTGTTTACTTCGACGGTGTATAAATTAACAGCGTTTGACTTGCAAGACGTCAAAAACGGAAGATTTCAACGCGCTGTCGTTTATCGCGTATTCATTTGCCAAAAGAAGTATTTACATCAATTGAAAGCTTGTTTATTAAAGAGCCAACTAGTAGAAGCATGATCGATTTGGAGCTTTATCGCATGGTGAAAATCGATTTTGTTAAGAGGGTATCGCAAATGAAGTAAGATAGTGTGCTCCAAAACTACGATTATTTCTATTCCTAAAAGTAACTCAGATTTCCTGTAAGTCATGTACACAGTCCTTTGAATAACTGAAAACAAGATTTTTAGGGTTTTAGATCGATTAGAAACGGTTGTCGTCGTGAAATTTATCTGTAAAATCAGCGCATATTTTCCCAGAAAAATGGCGATTTAGGGTGGTCGTGTTAAAACGGCATTTTCTCAAAGTTAAAAAAGCATTTGACCTAAAAAAATATATGGTGCATTTTCCGATATAATAAGGTATATCTGGGCAAAATTTGAGCGAAATCGATTTTTCCGTCGTGGCCGCCTTATGTTTGATTTTTGTGGACATCCTCTCCACATTTTTGTGGACATCTTTTAAACCTTAAAAGGTTTGCAAAGGACAACCTTTATTGAATTAGCTGTAAATATATATATATATATATATATATATATATATATATATATATATATATATATATATATATATATATATATATATATATATATATATATATATATATATATATATATATATATATATATATATATATAAGTGGATAGTTAGGCAAAGTATTTTACTAGCCATTTTGAATTTTCTTTACAATACCATCTTAGAAAATGTTGTGAAATTTCGTTGCTTAGACATTTAACCATTGTATATCGAATGGGGCAGATGCCTGTCAGGGATCGTATTCCCAAACATATGAGGACGAATTTGGTGTATAGGCATGTCAAGGCTGTGGAACCTTGTATGTCAATGATACTGTCTGATATTTTCACAAGTGTGCCTCCAATTCTTGGTACGAAACAAGAAAACCAATCTCATACAGTCAGACCACCATTTCGACACAGATCATCCTATCTCTTTATGACGATATTGAAATAATTACTTCTTTTTCCTATAAATCTGAATTAGTTCTTGGACAAACTCATATGGTATCCAAACTTCCACCCTCGTTAAATGGTATTATGGCTCTCTCCTCCGCAGAGGCTTTAATTGGCTATGAAGGCGAGAAGCCTCTGCACGATTTGCATCGCAAAGTGGGACAAAGTGGGACAAAGTGTAAACATCGAAACAAAAGGTGATTTTTAAGCTAAACAAGAAACGTATTTTTGAAAATTAAATCAATATTTAATGCATGATTGATTGACCACATTGACTAGTGCTTGCATGTTTGTGGATGCTCAAAAGTAATATTTTTTAACATTTAATACATAAAGCAAACAATCGTATATTTTACTCACCGCTTGGCCAAACATTCTGTATTTCGTATTGAGAAAAACTTGAATATTTCTTGAACTATTCGGAATTCGCCACCAGTCAAAGAAGTCAAATACTCCTTGTATTCAAGCGCTTTCGTGTAGAAAATTTCTTTTGAATACGGCCAGTAGAAATATTTCTTTTTAATTTTTCAAAATATCGGGTTTTTACTCGCACAGTCGAACGCGCCTGTCACACGCTGATGTTCGGGAATTAGTTCACAATCAGACCAGGAATGGAAATACCATAATAAAAGATGAAGTTTTCAAGATACAAGCTCAAAAATAACACTTTAAGTAGTGTTTTGAATTCGCTTTCGAACAAGAGTAATACAAAGACGATGCGTCCCAAGGAGCCGAAGTTATGTTCGCCGAAAGGTATGCCTAGTTTATATTTATCAAGTGTAAACATTGCGTGATTTGATATTAATATACAAAAACCCGCTTGACTTT